TTTAAAATTTAGAACATTTAGTAGATTTTATTAATCTGTTGTCTTCCTCTCTTCCTCTCTCGCTCTTTCTAATTAATATTTTTAATACGGTATTCAGCTAAAGGGAGAACAAATGAAAAACCCATTATCCTCTTACTGTAAATCCTTCAAACGTACACGCTTCGTAGTTCATGAGAAGTTGACTACGTGCAGTAATTTATCATCTGTCTGCAGGTGATCTTGTACTTTCAAATTCACGAAGCATGTAAGATGCGTTTTCATTTACGGAAATATTATGCAATTAAAATTTACGCAAATCCTATGCAATTATTTTTTCAAATTCACACGGTATTTTTTTATAAGTTAAGCATGCTTACCGTAGATATAAAATATATGCATAGACGAATATATTCAGGTAATGCAGAATGTTTTATTCATTCAAATTCTAATAAAGTTAAACTCTAAGAAAATCTCAATTAATTATTTTTTCCAGATTTATAATTTCATTGAAAGAAATATTGTTTGACGATCGCTACTTTAATTTATCAGCTCGAAGCTTGAAATAAATTTTTAGTCGCGAGGCAAGAAGGATTATGAGTAATTAATGTGGTCGCCAATTTCGTTTTGATCGTCTCCCTTAACTGATTTTAATTAAATAACTTTTGCCGCCGATGTACAGTTGCTAAGGTTAAAAGTGTCCGAAATTTATTTACGACGCGAATAAATATAACAAATGCGGTGAAGAACCAACCGCAAATTGCGAGATACAATCTCGATCTACATTCGAGAGTCTTCAACCCCTGATATCGCATTCGCGGGTTAATTAGCGTCTCATCGCGATGCAGATCCCGCGTGTCTCTCATGTCTCTCAAGCGAGACGGAATGGGTAATACACAGGTAATAGCGACTAATCGATAATATTAATAACGTTGCGCCAATAATCGCCGATAGCTTACAGCCGGGATGGCAAAGAAACAACGTCGGAATGTTGATGGACGACGTCACCGAACCGTGTAACTTATCGGAAGACCGTACAATAGCCGCTGTAAGTTACGCCGTTTTATTTTCGAATACCGCGGAATTATTTATATATGAATGTGCAAAATGTTACAAAATATTTATCACTTGGTTCTACCATTAAAATGATAAGAGATTTGTATATAGACATTTCGTCCAAAGCAAGAGTCTTCTTCGACTTTATAAATTCAGATTCGCTAATTCGTCTGACTAAACTTGATTTACTCTACTTTCAAAGTGAGAGCTCTTGACGTCGTATAAACTTCAAGTTTTCATTCTTGAATATCGATTAGTTTATCTTACATTAGCAGAAATTAATGAACAAGGTAATTATTCCAAGAATATGTTTAATATCTTTTCTGCATTTATTCGTGTATATGTAATTGATTATATATTAATTATATGTAAGAAATATATAATTCTTATACTTTTTTTGTCACGATTAAATACCTATATTATAAAATATATTTAACATAAAATATATTTAATAATTCCAAAACTGTTTTATTACTTTGTTCTTTTTTATTATCGCGTTAAATGTGATAATTTACTATCTATATTATATTTTTGTCCAACGGGGGAGACAAATCTTATATGTATATTTGTGCTTGCTCTAAATTTTTTAAAACTCGACGCCACTCGTAAATACCGAGATGTCGATGAACAATTATGACTCTAAGCACGTAGTTGAACTACATGAAATATTTGATTCGATTCGGTGCCAGATAGGAACGGAAACAAGAAGAGCATTGCATGCACTGAAAAGCGGAAAAGTTATGTTGCTTTTTCGCAGTCGATCGCAAACTGCGAGACGTCAAGTTCACATTGGTTATTCTTCACGATTGGACGGCGTCAAATAACTTGGATCGAAAAGTGTAAAGGACCGTTGAGGCGGAAATGCAACAGACAATCAGAAGCGGAAACGCGAAGAGATGTCGAAGAACGTCGGAGCATCGTGGCGGAAACTGTTCAAAAACTGCCCGAGAAACGTTGCAACTTTGACGCCAGCAGAGTGTATAAACTCGCGACTATTATCAGCAGCATCGTAGAAATCGCGAAGAAAGAATTTGGACGTCAGTGAATGCAAACGTAAATACGGTGCGCTCAACGTGTTTCCGGGTTATCAACGCTAAAGCATTATAGAATCGGATTTCTACGGGCGAATTTTGTATAGACAATGTTTTATCATCTGACAGTCACGTATATATTCTTAGTTCGATAATATAATTGCATTTATATATATATATATATATATATATATATATAGAGAGAGAGAGAGAGAGAGAGAGAGAGAGTCTTTATTTTTATCGCATTAAATTTCCCAACATTTCGTAACATTTACAAAACATGGAATAATTTAATTTTAATGATCGTAATGATAGATTTTCTCTGCAAACATTTGTGATACAATCAAAATACTGAAAATATTAAAAATTATTTAACGTGAATTTTAACAATATCTTTTCAAATGTTACATATTAAATTTTCCTTGAAAAATGGTTCTGTAAGAAAAAATCTGCACTGAATTCGTCATTTAAATGAAAAATTGTACGATAGTCTCTATCGAAGATGGAAGCGCAAGGCTTTTAATGATCGTAATGATAGATTTTCTCTGCAAACATTTGTGATACAATCAAAATACTGAAAATATTAAAAATTATTTAACGTGAATTTTAACAATATCTTTTCAAATGTTACATATTAAATTTTCTTCGAAAACTGGTTCTGTAAGAAAAAATCCGCCCTGAATTCGCCATTTAAATGAAAAATTGTACGATAGTCTCTATCGAAGATGGAAGCGCAAGGCTGTTTCAGACTGTAGGTTGACTAATCGGGAATGCGGTCGTCTATGATCATGCGATTCGATGCATCGCATGCTACTGTTGTAGTATGTCACCGTTGTCGCGTGATACGCGAGTATGCGAGTGACGCGTAACGCGGAAGAGCGGAGCGCAACATCGGAGACGGAGAAAAGGCCAGCACAAAGGAGAATCGGGCCATCGGAGCGTTAACCCTCGTCCGAGCGACCCCTTTTTCTAACTAGAAGAAAAAACGAGAGCTCTTCCCTCTCTCTCTCTCTCTCTCTCTGTTGTTGGAATTTTTTTTTACTTGTTTTATAAAAATCGCCAGAGCAAACCAAGATTGAAATATTTCGCGGAATATGCAAACTATCCCTTCAAAATGTGTAAACAACGTTTATATAACCATCGCCCTTTCCTCCTTTTTATTTCTCCTTAAAATTTAGAAACTGTGTTATTTAAAGAAAATGTATCTTAATTATATTCTCTCAATATTATATTATATTATTCAGATGAAAAATCTTAATTAAATTTTTTTTTAATGCAATAAGGTAATGGTACCGATTATGAGATAGGTTCTAAATATGAGACAGCGTCTTAGTAACGACACCGTACATCTGAAATGTGTGACGTTTGCGTCATTTACTTCGTCGGATAAACAGATCCAATTGTGTATCAATTTATCTATATGTCTTTTATTTTTGGTGTTAATAACAATAAAATTAAGTTTATCTAATAAAAGGCGCTTTCTCATATTAAGATCAGCTAGTATCTCATATTAGGAGACCTTTTGGTTTTGATAAAAAAACTGACGAGATCTAACTTATTAAGGTAGGACTTCTAAAACTACATGAAATGACGATTAAAAACAGTATATAGATACTTTCCTAATTGCATATATTTTAGAAATAATTAAGAAAATCTAAATGGTATCTCATCATAATCGGCACCCTACTAATTTTCTCTCCCTCTCTTATTCACGAAAACATTCTGGCACGATTTGTGACGTAGATCTACCGCATCACACAGTCGGTTACATATCTTGGTGCACGTATAATTTTATTTTTTACCGCATCCAAAAAAAAAAAAAAAAAAAGATCAATCCGGTTCCATTTACCAACATCATCTGTGAATGAAAAATACAGTTAGGATCGCTACTCTATTTCGTTTCTATCTCGTATCAAAATATCGTTGATTACGATTCCGAGCGGATCTATCTGTCTGTAACGGCAACTTCCGTTGTTTCGTTTAAACTTCTGCTTCATTCAAGAGGAGAAAAGGAGAACATCCCGGGGGTCGGATCCGGACCCGGAGAGGCCGGACGGTATCCTCCCGCATGCAGTCCTCTGTTGACTGAACCGACTTAAGTCAATGCCGCCCACGGTCTGGCACGCGGTACGCGCCAAGACGAAGAGGGATGTATGCGCGAGGAAACGCGAGATATGGGGGACGTCATCGGGGGATCTCTCAGGGAGAAAGAGAAAGGCCTGCTCGCGGATGGAGTGCGAGATGACGAGGCTTGGGCACTGATGCGCGACGAGGACGAAACGAGCGGAACTGTACTGATGGACAGAGAGAGAGAGAGTGTGAGAGGTATAAGGATACCGAGGCATGCGCCGTTCTATCATATTGATCTCGCCATAGTAACGATTCTCTCTTCTCCGACGATGTTGGGATGCACTATAGCCCCGGGAGGAAGAGGGATGTCGGAGAGCGAGGAATCATGCGGGAGGGGAGAGAACAAGAGAGGGGAGGCAGGTCGTACCGCATGGTGTACCACGCCACCCCACGATGCGCGGATGTGGGCCGTCGAGGGTTGAACGAGCGAGCGAGAAGCAAAGGTGGGACAAAGATAAAGGAAATCGTGGGGAAGGGTGGGAGAAGGTATACATGTGACGAGACCCCAAGAACGTTCTAGGGAGAAGAAGAGGGAGAGAAATGGAGCGAGAGCGAGATGAGAGGAGAGCTGCGAGAGACGAACAGCATCGGTGATCGAGGTAGAACGACGGATACGGGGGTGAAAGAAGCGAAGAGGGATTTAGACGCGCGCGCGGCGACTGGCAGGTATATGGACGGGGGTAGAGAATGGGGTAGTAGGAAGAAAGAGAGAGAGAGAGAGAGAAATGACAAAGATATCACGAGCGACGAAGAGGTCCGGAGGTGGTGAACGGTGGCGGTTAGCTACTACAGAGCTAGCGCCAAAGCGGGTTGAAGCGGCAGTACCGCGCGGCGTTGCAGCCAAATGAATCTCAGTCCAGCGTTGGTCGCCGGCGAGGCCGCATCTGACAAAGCACCCCCTCCCCTCCCCTGTCGGGAGCGAGAGAGAGAGAGTAATAGAGTAGCCCTATACAACCCCGAGATTCGAAAAAGGGCCAGTCTCCGCGTTAACCACGCGTTTACTCTCGCGTAACGGGACGAGAGAGAGAGAGAGAGAGAGAGAGAAAGAAGAGAAATCGGAGGGATGTTCTCGCGATCCTGGCGATCGCGCGCGTTCCAAGATCCACATTACCGAGGGTGAACCCTGTCGTTCACCCTGACCCGATGCTGCGAGCGTACGCGGGAAGCTCGACGAGCGGAACGAATCCATGAGCGGACTGCGGATGCGTCCCTGAGCCTGTTTTGTACGTACACGCATATACATACGCACACGCATACACACACGCATACATAACATACATACATACATACATACATAGTAGAGATCCGCGGAAGTCAGCTTTGTCCCTGTGATAACGCAATTGCTGGTGCCAAGATCGAGGCTAAAATCGTGCGTGATCAACTACAACGTTCTCGGTGACAATCGCGAGATCGAGGAAAGAGGGCGAGACCAAATCGCCAAAGAGATGTCCGCGCTGCCCGACGATGCCGCGTTGTGGTGCGGACCACCCTCTGGACCATAGTGCGCACGGATCGTGTCGTCCGGTACGGGACAGCAGCGGACTACCACCGCGCCGGAAGCGTGGATCACGTGCCCCCGACGGAGTACCCAGGACGATGCATCCGGCAAGCCCGGTGCAGACGCGACCGGGCGAGCCTTGAGGACGAGCCAGGTCCGCGTTCTCGCCCGACGAAATTCGGCAGCCACGTGCGAGAAGAAGGAGGAGGACGCGCGGCGGTGTGGCGGTTGCGACGGCGACAACGGTGGCGGAGAAGGAGGTGGAGAGGAAATCGCCAACGTGGAGGTGGTGTTGTTCCAAGTGGTGGTCCTCGAGGAAGGAGGAGTAGCAGCCTCGCTAGCAGCCTGGCTACTCATCCGCGATTAAACATGAGACGCTCGTGGACGCTCGTCGCGGCGATAGCCCTGGCGGCATCCGGTGAGTGATTTCTGTCATCCCTCTTCTGTGGGGAGAATAGCTCTGCCATTAGTCGGCCGACGAGTTTTTCCCCACGTTTCATCCTTTATGTTTGCTCGCAACGCGAACTCCGTCCACCGGTTGCCTCGTCTCTCTCCGACGAGAAATTCGAATTTTTCCGTGTCTACCTTTTACACTCCTACACTGTACACCTTTTACGTCCCTTCCACAAGTGTCCGTCGACGTCATAACGCGTCACCCGTTGCCCCGGGTTTCTGATGTCTCTCTCTCTTTTTTTTTGCGACATTACGAATATGTGAGCAAATTGTGAGTGCTTTGGTTATACTTGAAATGAATGTTAAATGTAATTGCAATCTCTTGCCTTCTAGCAGAGGATAGTTGATTATTCTAAATAATAACTAGTGGCGCCGACATTTCTCATACGTGGCTTATGATGTCATAGTGACTCTCTCTCTCTCTCTTTCTCTATTTTACGAATTCTTATCTCCTGTGCGAATAATATTGATGTAGAGCAGTGGTTCTTAACCTTTTTGAATTCACGGAACACTTTTGATTATAAAGAAAATTTGCGGAACACAAAAATCACTAAGGTCATAAAATGAATAATAAAAATGTGCATAAACATATTTTTATTAAAAATTATAAATTACAGATTACATAACAGTAAAAAAAACATTAATTAAAAAAATTATGTTCATAAAATTTGCAACTAAAGTAACTCTTTTATAAACTCTTCATAAACTTTTTTATAAACAGCTCTTTCATAAAAATGGAACTTTTCAAATCAATTTTAATGTGATACCTGAGCTTGTCGACTTTTACAAATTTCAGCAATATCAGGTCTAATATGTGATATAGCTACCCTTATTTCTTCATCTATATTAGTAAGTCTTTCACGTTTTTTAGTTTTTATGTTGGTGACCGTTGAGAAACCGAGCTCACACAAATACGATGTTGAAAACTGTAATAAAATTTTCAATGCTTTTGTGTAGAGACCTGGGTATTCAGTTTGGATAGAAATCCAAAATTCCTCAAGAGTTATTTCACAGAATTTTATTTTTAAAGTACGATCTGTTGACAAGGCAATTAATTCTTCTTCTTCTTGTAACGAAAATTCCCAACTCGATGTATTAACTGTGCCAAATGGATTTCGTATCCAGTCAAAATTTTCTGTATTTAAAGAAGGAAAGCAACTTGTAATCTTTTCTTCCAATAGTGTTAAATGTTCTATTATAACGGAAATAATTTCCTCGACATTTTTATTATGAAGCGAAGTAAACATATCTACTGTATTTTTTTCTGATATGCGATTTTTCCAAAAAGATATTTTTTTTTGAAATGCTGACAGTTTGTCAGTGGATGTCAAAATATTTTCATTTTTTCCTTGGATACTTGTATTAACGCTATTTAAATAATTAAAAATATCAGCTAAGTATGCCATTTTAGAACACCAAATATCATTTTCAAGACATTTTACAAAAGCATCTGTAGTTGTACCTTCATTTTGAAAAAAGGCCAACAATTCATTCTTAAGTTCTAAAACTCGGCATAGCACTTTACCTCTGGATAACCATCTTATTTCAGTGTGCAAAAGCAAAGATTCGTATTGAGCTTCCATAGATATGCAAAGTTTTTTAAAAAGGCGTGTTTTTAAAGGTCTTGATTTAATGTAATTTACCATATGTATAACTTGGTCTAGTACAGATTTTAATGTTGCTGGTAATGTTTTTGAAACTAGAGATTCTCTATGCAGAAAACAGTGCGTAAATATAATATTTGAGTTTCTTGTCTTTGCAAGAGTAACAAATCCTTTAATACGGCCTACCATTGATGGAGCACCATCCGTACAAATTCCTACACATAGCTCCCATGATATTTTAAATTTTTCAAAATATGACGTAATAGAGTCAAAAACATCTTGTCCTGTTGTACGTTCAGTAAGTTCTCTACAGCATAGAAATTGATTCACTATTTCGTTTTTGTGAATGAAACGAACGAATCCTAATATATGAGCTTTACCGCTAATATCAGTGGACTCGTCAATTTGTAAAGCAAAATATCGTTTAGAAAGTTTATCGACAACTGTTTTTTCAATATCATCTGACATATTTTTAATTCTATTTTTTATTGTATCGTTAGAATGAGGAATTTTCATAATTTCCTCTTTTGCTTTGTCGCCAAACATAATTTTTACTATTTCACAACATGCTGGTAAAATAAGAGACTCTGCTATGGTATGTGATTTTAACTTTACAGCAATTAATTCAGCTACCTTATATGACGCAAGTTGTGCCTTGTCGGAAATTTTAACAGTTTTTTCAAAATGTTTTACTTGTTTAACTTGCATGTCCATCAGTCTTTTAAAATAATCTTTAGTTTTTGAAGCAAGATTGGCGTGCTTCGTAGTAAAGTGGCGTTTCAACTTAGCAGGAGCCATTGCGCTATTAGACAGTTTTTCTCCACATATAAGACACTGTGGAATTTGACATTCTTCCTCACCGGTCCAAGTAAAACCCAAATTTAAATATTTGTCCGAGTACTGTCTATTAATTTTTCTTATTTTACTACGTATAATTTTGTCTTCTGTATGACAAGTATTTGCAGCAACATCATTACTACTACTTCCACTTGTACTTGCTCCATCATTAATATTTTGCTCAGTATCACGTTTCCGTTTAATAATAAATTTATTCATTGTACGCTACTACGTTGATATAAATTTCTTTCTGAAATAATAAATTTTAACTAAAAAATGAAAATAATTATTAAAGTTATTTATTAATAAAAAATGTATTACCTGATCTTATATGTGAGAGATTTAAGTTAAAGATGTTATCAATTATAATGTTTATACACAACACACAAACCAAATACACATCAAAAATGGACTTTGTCAAATCAAATGAACGACTGGAACAGAGACGCTTAGAAACGTTTAGATAGTTTACTGAAGAGCTTACTCGAAAATGCAAGTCGTATCTTGTCTGCATCGTCAACAGACGCAGCGACAGTCGAAACACGCGATCGGCGGCTCGGCCGTCGAACCTTGAACGGAAGGGGAGGAGGGGAGGACAGTAGAGGAGTTGCCGCGTCGCCTCAGAAATCGGCCTGAATTGCCTTGAAACCGAAATGTGCATCTAGTACCGAGCATTATCCTAACTAGTACGCCGCGCTTTTGCGGAACACTTGTAAGAAGTTCGCGGAACACTAGTGTTCCGCGGAACACCGGTTAAGAACCACTGATGTAGAGTGACGTGCGATCTCAGAAATGTCATATTTGGACTTGCATCGGAGAATTTCAGAATTTCTATGACGTACACTAAAATAACTTTGCATAGAAATTTTGTAGCGCTGCTTTTCTCTAGAACTTTATAAATCTGAAAAATCTTTATCGCTCGCAATTTTTGTTACGTACACAAAGTTATGAAAGATCGGTCAACTTGAGAATATTTGTAATTCTTCAAATTCACAATCGATCTCCCAGAAGTGTCCGCGTTGCGATTAATCATTATCTCTCCTCGGTATTGCTCACGTCAGATCTTGTTTCCGGAATTCGCACGAGGCTTCCTTTCCGTAAACAAATAAATTTCTTCGGGTTTGTTTGAAGGAATCGCAACGAGCAAGTTTCGCTCAGACAGGGGAGTTCGCTTGTCAATTCTTCATCTCGTTCCTCTCTTGCGAGACATCTCTTGAGAAATCTCTTCGGCATTGTTGTTCGAGAGCGCGATTCTCTGTAGCTAGATAAACTTCCGAACCAGAACATTTTTTTCCCCTTTTTTCTTGTTTACGTTAAAAGGAAATTTTTATTTCGCGATAATGCGCTCGTCGAATTCATATCTGGGCTCGAAAGTCGTCGCCGGACGGTTAAATCTCTCTTCAAGGCTATCCGGATTATAAGAAGGAGGCTGAAGTTTCGCTTTCGCGAGAGAGTGCGAGGGTGCTCGTCGCACGCAATCCTTCATTTCTTCAACGTCGCTCTCTTGCTACCGAGATCGGTGCGAGCTCGTTTCGAGCTTTGAATGGAGCAGGCAGATGTAGAGCGCCGCAATCCCGGGAGGAGGAACAGGGTGGAAGGGTGGCAGAGAGATGGTGAGAGAGGGAAAGAAGGGGGAAGGACGCGGCATTTCAATATTGACGTCAACTCGCGACGCTTCCAGAGCGACGCGACGTCTCGCACCTCGTTAGCGGCACGTTGATGCCACCAGCTGGGGAGTCAAAAATGTGCGCGCACGTCGCCAAATCGGCGTTGCGTAAATATGTTTGCGTGCTGCTTCGATAGCGGTTTTTCCCCCCCTTTTTTTTTTTATTATTTTGCATTAGTCTCAACTGACGCGTAATCATCGTTTTCCTTTTTTTTTTTTCGTATTTCCGCGAGACGATGGAAAAACAGAGATCGTTATCCGTTGGGATGGATTCATCCATTAATTAATGGGAATATAAAAGTCAAAAGTCGCTATCTCTTGAGATTATATTATAAATTTTATTCTATCGATTATACTAGGAATATATAAGACTTGCAGAATTAAGAAAATAGATATTTTTCAGATTGTTGTAATGTTAATGATATGATGAGTAAAATAATTAGTAATTTGTATTTTTCAATATAGATTTTTAGGATGTGTAAAGTGAAAAATAACTCAAAATTAAATTATTGAATTTTTCTTTAAATATATTATACATATATATATATATATATATATATATATATATATATATATATATATATGATGGTAATCGTATTCTGAGCGAGCGGCTTTAAAAGTGTTATTATGGAAACTAAGCATTTAGTTCGGTAACTGTCCATTTAAAAATGGCTCTGACTTTCTTTCAGTTTTAAATGCATTATACGATGTCGTCAGAAGCGGTCGTAATAAATTTGAGCAAATTGCTGCTTCCACTTGATGCTCACGCATCAGGAATGCCTCTTGTCGCACGTTGCAGCGCATTCATTAATTAAAGTGCCTCCGTTAAAAATAATATTGTTTAATTATATGTCTCGA